GTACTCTGGATTAAGAGGAAGGAGATAACTGACGTGTTTGAATGAACTTCTTTTATCTCATATTTTCATTTTTGCTCAATTTTAGACCTAACAGGAACCTTAAACATTTTCATCTTGAAAAACGAAATTGAAGGAAATACTTTAGAGAAAGTTTGCTGTAAGAAAGATTTTGTTTTTATTTCCATCAGAATGCCATATAAATTACACGAATAAAATCTGTTGACATCCCAAGCATAACAATTAAATGCTCTCATGAATTACATGGGAATTGCACATACTCTGAGAAGCATTGCAATTATTATATAATATGTATTAAATTTACCTACAGAAGTTTGCACATATGTTTGTAAATTTTGGATATTAATAGTCTTCTGAAATAAATTTTGAAAGGTAAAACAGAATTTAAATTTACATAAAAAATGATCCCAACTTTTAGAATGCTTACTATGTGCTGGGTATTAAGCACATTACATTTATTGAACCCTATGAGTCAGATGCTCGGATAAGTGATTCATATAACTCATTTAAATCTCACTATAATCCTATCAGTAGATGCTGTTATCATCCCCATTTTCTAGATGAGGAGCTAGGATACAGTGTAGTAAGGTGACTATCCTAACATCACAATATGATGGATGAATAGTATTCAATTCTAGCAGCTAGTTCTAGAATCCAGGTTCTTAATCACCATGCTAACCAACTTCATTCAAATAGAACACAAATAAGGAAGATAGAAATTTAAAGTTGTTTTTCTATGAATGGCCAAAGAACACCATCACCACCCTCATTTATTTAATAGACTTACGCTTTAAACTAGCACTTTTCAGATGGAATACATTTATTACTCCAAGGGGATAGGTACAAAGTAAATAAAATTTCCACAGGACCCATCCTGCTGTCTTGTCCTGAAAAATATTAGTCACTTTTCTCAAAGTGTGATTCATGTGGTATATAACATTATGTGAGGTGCTCTTTTTTTAACTTTACCTTTCAACAAATTGAGAGTAAAGCAAATCTGAATGGGATTGTACGTCAAGAATTGCAAACTTGTACCATCACGAGTTACCCCACCATTCAAGGATTCAGTTTCTCTACCTGTAAATGATCCCATTAGACTGAATAAATTTTAAGGTTATTTTAGATGAGTTTAGCACATACAATGGAGAAAAAAATGCAGGCTTTTTAGGCAGAGGGCCAGCTTCACTGATGAAGTTACCAATTTACTGAGCCTCCACTATTACCACTGTAAAATTGAGATAAAAATAATCTATTTTATAGAATGGTTGTGAGGATTAACTTAACTAGCTAGTGCATACTCAATAAACATTAGTTGCTATTCTTATAAAATAATTATTTACTATAAAATTTGACACAATTGCAAATGACTATTTGCCATGGAGTTTATTACTGAAGGAACTTAATTTAAAATAACTGACATGAAATTTAAATGATCTGGCGAGACTTAAATGATTTTGTTAGTGTGTTTTTAATATGCTTGAATAAATGCCTTTGTGTATAAATATAAAAACCATGCTTAGTCAGGGATATAGCTTTTATTTAGCTCATAATGCAAAGTCCCAATTTTTCTGCAGGTGATTCACATCTTGAAAGAGTGTAAAAGTGGTTCTGCACTCATTTTCAATCCAACTTGAATTTCTGTTTCATTATTTTCTAATGAAATTGAATTTGGTGATACCTGACACCTTATAAGATTTTGTTTATCTTGCTATACAAAATAGACTTATAAAGTAGATTTCCACAGAGCTTAGTCTTGGCTATAGCATTTTAGAGCCACATAAAAATTCTTATCCATCTACTTACAATATTCTATCTTTATGGCTTTTCATAAGCAATATTGCTTTCAGTTTGGTATTGAATTTTAAGAAACTAAAATATAATTGTACACTTTGTATATTTCTATAATGAAATTGACAAATGCAATTGTCTAGAGTGCTCTGTCATTTTATGGACAACATTTATTCAAAATGCAGTCAACATGTGATCAAATTTGAGTCTTTATAACATAGCAAATGCAGATGTCTTGCTTTTGGAAAATAAAACATCCTAAAATTGGCATCAATTACCAATTAGAATGTTAGAGTTTAAAATAAGGCTATGATCTTCATAGAATGATTGGACTACTCAGATTGTAGTACATCATCACCAGATGGTTTAGGTGTGGTCCCAACTTGATTTTTTTTTCTCAACTCCCATTTTCAAATTTTTCATCAAACTTTCTAGTTATTTATTTCCAACCCACCTTTCATGGTTTCTGTGTAATTATGAATAATACACTCTTTTAAATATTCATAAGTATGGTTTCTGTTCTTTTTTTAATTGTTTTTTAGATTTATAGGTATTGATAATGTATAATTCTCTCCTTTTGATACATTATTGCATTTTACTATTGTTTGAAATCCCATCTGATGAAAAGTACTTTATTATTCATCATCCTATTTTCTATTTATTATTTTTCAAAATCTTTAGAAATGCAAACAATGTTGTAATCAACATCTTCCTATTTTTATATATTTATATGTGCCAAGTTTCCTGTAGGTTTCTGAAGTCTTCTTTATGCTTATCAATTATGAAAAGATGAAAGGCAAAAGGCTAGTTCTGAGGAACACATATTACCCTCCACAAGATGTGAATAAATAGAGCATTAATTTATCTTGTTTCAAATTAAAGTTATTGATAATTTGATTCTTCTATTATAACACTTTATCTCAAGCTATTATTTCATTTCTATGCCATCACAGAATAAAATGCCCATATTATTTACTATTTCTACCTTATTTCTTAAGAATTTTAGATTCCGTTTTGGTCTTTCAGAGACATAATTTCAGATTTTCTCAGCTGAGAGTTTGTGATATGTATATCTATTTCTCTTTCAATTTAAGTATGTTCAAATGAATCGTTCAAAAAGGTAGATTATATGATAGAACAATAATCTTTTTTTAAAAAAAGTACTATACTATAATAAATTTAGCTATTAACCCTATTTGTTTTAAAAGTATATAAAAATGCCATTTGACACCAAAATAAACATTTGTTAAGAACCCATTATGTGCCAAATTCTGTTACTATTTTTATTCTTTATTCACCTAAATATTTATCTGGATTAATGCAGTATCACATTGTAGATTCAGAAACCAAGGGTGAAAAAGTAAAAATTTATAAATATGTTGACATAAACATATGAAAAGAAATTCTTAATTGCTAGGTTTTTGTTGATTTTTGTTAATAAGGCCACAAACTTTACTGACATTTATGCATGTAATAAATATACATAAATCAACCTGTCTTATACTAATGTTTTATGAGTAAAATCTCAAGCATAAGAAAATTATATTTCCATCTGAAATATATTAAGTATTATCAAATATATATCTATTGTCTATAATCTCAGTTGTGTGTTTTTTCCTTTAGCATACTTTAAAAGATTAAGATAAGTGTATTCCGTACTGGAACATTTTAATCATTATAAAACATTCTATATTAAATAGACTAGATAGATCTGAGACATAGAACCTGTGCCTCATATCTATATTTTCACTTCAATAGCAGTGTATTCATAATACTTTGCAACACTTTTAAAAATTTTAACGTCTGTCATTTATGTTTCATGTATTTTACAAATACATGTTATGTTTGGAAAATATTTTAGACTACAAAGACATAATTTATTATTCAAATCCTCTTAAAATGTCTTGGCTGGTATAGTTGGTATATATGCTCAGAACATGAGTATTTTCACGTAAGATTATATACAATAAACATCCAAAAGAATAAGGGAAAAAATTATTACAGTGGCATGCCATGGTATTTTAGGCATTGCGTTTAAACTTGTGCCTGTGTGTGAATATAGTGGATATTTTTCTCTTAAAAAATATTGTAAAAACAGTTATTGCCTAGGGTATGTGTATTATTTGAAATGTATTCAATTTTAAATTTACTATAGACTATGTGAAATCTGAATATTGACTTCATTCTAATCTGTGCTAACTTCATTTTGCTTACAATGCACCACTAGGCATGTGGTGCACACGCACAACTATTTTTACTTTATTAAGATTTTATTTGCTGATACATAAAGGTAATAATTAAGCATCCAACTTATTGCTGAGAAAATATTATTATTATTTTATTATTCTACTCAGGAGGCTGAGGCAGGAGAATTGCTTGAGCCCAGGAGGTGGAGGTTGCAGTGAGCCAAGATCATGCCACTGCACTCCAGCCTGGCCACAGAGCAAGACTCCATCTCAAAAAATAAAAATAAAAAACTACACACACACACACACACCATACATATATATGTATGTATATATATGTTTTAGTTATTTTCTAAATTAGTTTATAGGTTTTTCTAAAAAAATTATTTATTGTATTTTAAGTTCTAGCGTACATGTACAGAACGTGCTGCTTTGGTACATAGGTATACACGTACCATGGTGGTGGTTTGCTGCATCCATAGCCCCATCACCTACATTAAGTATTACTTCTACTGCTATACCTCCCCAATCCTCCTACCCCTGCTCTTCCTCCCCTGGTCCCCCACCTCCCCCAGGCTCTGGTGTGTGATGTTCCGCTCCCCATGTCTGTGTGTTCTCATTGTTCAACACCCACTTATGATTGAGAACATGCAGTGTTTGGTTTTATGTTCTTGCATCAGTTTGCTGAAAATGATGGTTTCCAGTTTCCTCCATATCCCTGAAAAGGACATGAACTCATCCTTTTTTTATGGTTACATAGTATTCCATAGCGTATATGTGCCACATTTTCTTTATCCAGTTTATCATTGTTGGGCATTTAGGTTGGTTCAAAGTCTTTGCTATTGTGAACAATGCTGCAATAAACATATGTGTGCATGTGTATTTACAATAGAATTATTTATAATCCTTTGGGCATATACCCAGTAATGAGATTGCTGGGTCAAATGGTATTTCTATTTCTAGATTCTTGAGGGATCACCAGGGATTTTTTCTTTGTTGTGGCTTCACTGCTTTATACTTTTCCATTGTATATTCCATTGTATAGATAAAATTGATATGGTTTGGCTCTGTGTTATAACCCCCACTTGTTGAGGCAGGGACCTAGTGGGAAGTGATTGGTTCACAAGGACAATTTTCCACATGCTGTTCTCATGATAGAGAGTTCTTGTGAGATCTGACGGTTTAAAAGTTTGTGGCAGTTTCCCCTCCATCCACTCTTGCTGCCTTGTGAAGAAGATGTTTGCTTCTCCTTTGCCATCCACCATGATTATAAGTTTCCTGAGGCCTCCCCAGCCATGTGGAAATGTGAGTCAATGAAACCTCTTTTCTCTGTAGATTATCCAGTCTTGGTTGGTTCTTTATAGCAGTGTGATAATGGATTTATGCAATAATTTAATTAAATGCCTATTTATAGACATCTGTGAATATAATTATGGTCTGAATAATACTATAATGAATAACACTGTGTACATCTATTTCTATTAAATAAATTCCATGAAAAGGATTTGCATATTTTATAAATATATAGACTTATTTAAATAGATATAGACAAAGTTTTTTATATCAGGCTTAAAACAATCTACATTTTACTAGCATTTTATGAGAGTGTCTGTTTCCTACACCCTCATCAACAGAGTATGCTATCAAAATTTTGGACTTTTATTAACTGATAGGTAAAAAAGTTATCTCTGTGTAGATTTCTTTGTACCTCTCTCGTAATAAATGAAATTGAGCTTGCTTCGTAATCATAAAAGGGACATATTTTCCTTTTTGTGAACTGTCCTTTTCTTTTTTACTACCGGAGTTTTGTATTGTGTTACTGATTTTTAGGAGATGTGTACACTAGGGAAATTAGCTTTGTAATAGAACTTTTATATACCCCGTTTAAAAAATGTTGATTATAGTCATTTTAAATTTTTATGTTATTGAATTTATATTTTTTTTATTAAGTTTTGGAAAGACTTCTCCCACTCTGAGGGTCTCAAAGTAAATAAATGTGTATTATGGGTCTAATACGAGTATGGATGAAGTACTATATCAGTTGCTATTTTCAATATCTCCCTGCCTAGAGAGGTAGTTGGGGAGGTAATCAATGTGAAAATGACTGATAAATACTAGGCTAAATAAAATACGTGGTGTAATAAAATGTAAGCCACATTAATTTACTCATATTAATTACCAGTTATAATTTTTAGTTATATGAGTGAATATTTGATTCACAATTCTTCTTTCTCAGACCCCATTAAGCTCCGTGAGATTTAGAAAATATAGTCATGTGCCATGTAACAACATTTCAGTCACTGACAAACTATATACGTTGGTGGCTGGTCCTGCAAAATTGTAATGGGGCTGAAAAGTTCTTATCACCTGGTGACATTGTGGCCATCATAACGTCGTAGTCCAATTGCTTTATTTCTTTTTTTTTTTTTTAATTTTTTTTTGCTTTTTTATTTTGCTTTATTTCTTAATAAACTTAGTGTAGCCTAAGTGTACAGTGTTTATAAAGTCTACAGTAGTGTGCAGTAATTTCCTAGGCTTTCACAGTCACTCAACATTCATTCACTGACTCACTCAAGGTGTCTTCCAGTACTGCAAGCTCCAAACAAGGCAAAGGCCCTCTCTGCACAGGTGTACCATTTTTTATCTTTCATATTCTAATTTTTAGTTTCCTTTTTAATATATAGAGATATTTTTGGATACACAAACATTTACCATTGTGTTATAATATTCTGTTAAAATTGCCTACAATAACATGTACAATAACATGCTGTACAGGTTCGTAGCCTAGGAGCAATAGGCTATACCATAGAGCATAGGTGTGCCACAGGCTGTACCATCTAGGTTTGTGTAAGTACATCTTATGATATGTGCACAACAATGACATCACGTAACTAGGGGTCTGTATTGTTAAAGGATGCATGACTAGATCTGTCTTGCTTATCAAAGTATTCCAAGAGTGTAGCCCAGAGCCTGGAAAATAGTAGACACTTAAATATCTACTTACTGAATAATAAATGAATGTTTATCACAGTGCCTCACACTGTAAAGTAAGTCTACCTGGAAAGACACACGTTTAAGCAAATAATTATAGTATGGGTTCTGAGCAGCAACACTAATAAGGACAAGGCATTGAGACTGCTCGAGGAAGGAGCTCCTAACTCTGTCTGAGGGCAACTTCTGAAGGGAGCCTTATCAACTGAGCACCCAATCTTGAATTAAGGTACTCCAGCTGCACAAAATCTTCAGAAGGACTAGAAGTCATAGCAGAAAAAGGGAAGCAAATAATTGTAATAGTGTGTTTGAACTGCTACAGGGTTTTTGTTTGTAGAATGACTGGTATTTTTGGTAGTAGGGGAATGTTAATATGGGAGTACTTAATTTAGGAATATCTCATGGAATAGGTTATATTTGTAATTAGAATACTGTAAAATGACATAGCATCTCAATAGGTGGAAAATCAGTGGGAAGGGTTCAGGTTTAAAAGACCAGGTTCAAAGTTACAGAGAAGCCATAAAAATACTTTAAAAAAAGTTACAGAGAAGCCATAAAAATACTTTAAAAAAAGTTACAGAGAAGCCATAAAAATACTTTAAAAACAAAAGCAAAAAAACAGATACCATTTAGAACAGCAGGAGCCTAACAAAAGCAATAAGGGTAAAAAATGAAATAGGATATCATCTTTGAGAAGCTTAAAAATGAAAGAGTGTAAGCTTACCAATTTAATATCTTAATAAGATAGTTTTTGTTTGTTTTTCACTCCTGAATGTAATTATGAGCAAGAATATCCACAGCTTTCCATAACTGGTATGAATATCGATGGTAGTTTTTTTTCGTTTTATCTATTTTATCTTGTAAATATTTCTCAATAGCAGTTATTTTACAGAATATAATGGAGATTAGGACTATTGACCTAAACCTGAACTTGCCACAACATGTTCCCATGATACAAATGAGCCATGGATTTTCTTTACAATTTGTCCTCTTAGATCATGAGCCATTCCAAGATTCCCCTTGGCTCAGAGTCCTGGTGAAAGACATAGTCCAATGATGATGACTTTTGTAAATCTGTGTAGCTTCCCTCTTACTTTCTGTGATCTAGGCACATTGGATTTATTTCAGTTACCTGAAGTTTTGTTTTTGCTTGGTAGGACTTTAAATTAAGGTAATATATGTAAATCACACATAGTACTACATGGCATATAGCAAGCTTTCAATATATATACTGCTATTTATGTTGTTTAACCCAAGAACTTATGAAGAAACGAGATAGGAATCACTTAAAGACCAAGATCAAGTACGATTTTCTCCAAAAATCTTCTCTAATCAATCTTGCCTCAATAAGAGTTAATTTTGTTAAGGTAATAGAAAATATGAGAAGGTTGATGGCTTCAGATTTGAATTGTTAGAGATTCTGCTTTAAGACATTGAAATGGAGATTTATTTAGCAGATACATAGATTTATAAAATACATAAAATATTTTTATAAGAGTCTGCATTCTTTACTTTTTAGTTTGAAATTTATTTAGAGCACGTTTAAAAATAGTTTCTTCCTAATATGGCAATAAGTTTTGTTGTTCTTGTTGTTGTTGTTTATTTTGTTTTGTCTATGTTCCATGATGTTTAATGAGCGTACCTGCTGGCATGTACATGGGCAATGTCAAGGTTTGGTGGCAGCAGCTGTGCATTTTCTTGTTAGTGTGACAACACTTATCTAACACTTTTCATGTTATGTCATATATAACAAAAGTATCTAGGCTGAGTGTGGTGGCCCACGCCTGTAATCCCAGCACTTTGGGAGGCTGAGGTGGGAGAATCACTTGAGTCCAGGAGTTTGAGACTAGCATAGACAACATGGTGAAACCCTGTTGCTTCAAAAAATATTTTAAAATTAGCTAGATATGGCGGCTGCATCTATAGTCTCAGCTACCCTGGAGGCTGAGCTGGGAGAATCACCCAAGCCCATGAGATCAAGGTTGCAGTGACTCGTGATCATGCCACTGCACTCCAACCTGAGTGACAGAGTGAGACCCTGTCTCAAAAAAAAAAAAAAAAAAAAAAAGTACCTAAACATTTAGAAAATTTGAAATGCAAACTTCCTTTAAATACTCAAAAATAAATTACTTTCTCTTATGTTTCATCTTCTGAGATTTAAAAGAAGGTTGGTAGAAAAGATTTCGGCACAATCTATCTCTCATTCTTCTTAAAGCATATGTAGTATTAAATTACAGGAATTTCTATGTGGTTCTTTTATATATTTTTTGAAAACATGAACAGAGAAGTATTTATGCTAGCAATTTTAATTAGATGCAAAAAAAGTAAAAGTATTTATACCATTTAAATCTTTATTTGGATATCTCCACTAATAATTTTGGCATGCTTTCATGTAAAAAAACTCAACTTTCATTTGGAGTTCATAGTTTTGAGCCCAGCCTATAATATGATATTTGTCTTACTTTTGCTTGAATCAAACCACTACATTTTACAAAACTGTGCTTATGTTATTATAATTGGAACATAACATCATAGGTAACTGAGATAAGCTTGACAAAGCAGTAGGAGAAACCTCCTTGGATTCGCTGTATTTGAGCAATAGTCTTTTTCTGGTGTCTTTCACATCCAGTTGTGGCTCCCTGCAATCAGTTTCATCATTGAAGCTAGGTTAATTATGATATCACCCTACTTACATTATATCATTTGGTTGGTTCAGATGTCATTGTGGTTTTGCCATTTGACTTTCAGTGTCAAGAACCACAGTTACTTTTGCACCAGCCCAATAGGAGTTCCTATTTTATGCCATCTTCCCTCTTACTTCCTGTGATCTAGGCACATTGAATTTATTTCAGTTCCCCAAAGTTTTGCTTTTGTTTGGTAGGATTTTAAATTAAAGTAACGTATGTAAATCATGCACAGTACTACATGGCATATAGCAAGCTTTCAATAAATGTACTGCTATTTACATTGTTTTGCCTAAGAACTTACAAAGAAAGGAAATAGGAATCACTTAAAGAGAATCACTTTAAG